ATGACAATAAAAAGAAGACCCAGACTCAAACCCAAACTCAAACTCATAAACAGTTTGGGCTTGGGTCATGTCATCGTTCAATATCATCATTGACATAGAGACTAAGATAAAATTCAAAATTGATAGGATATATGAATAGAATTTCATATATATGTATACAGGTATTCTATTCATCTAATATCGATGAGTTTATCAATAGTATGAACATTCTTAAATATTAGAACAGAAAGAATAATTCATTCTATTAATAAAATAAACATTTCCTCTCCTTCTATTCTTCTATGTTTCTGTTCAGTATCTTTATTTCTTTCTTATCTAACACAACGAAACTCTGCTTATTCGGACAGTAATGTAACCGTAAAGGTGTTCTCTACAAGATTAGAGTTTCAGCAGACACATTTTCTTTTTCATCAGTTTTATTTTACTTTCAAAAAATACAAAGAAATTATAATTTCTTTTTTATGTCTTCGAGGTCTTTTTTCCATTTTCGAAGATTAGGATGATTTGTTGGTAATGATTGTTGTGCAACTTGTACAGCACGTTCATAAAATGAATGAGCTTTTGAATAGTTGCACATATGGTCATACACTAAACCGATGTTGTTATAGAAAGCTCCAAAATCAGGATGATTGGGAGGAAGTAATTTTTGTTTGATTGAAGGGCTTTTTCATAATAAGAAAGTGCTTTTGGATAATCACCCATGCTGTAATACACCGCACCGATGTTGTTATAGCAATGAGCCAAATCAAGATGATTGGAAGGAAGTGTCTTTTCATAGATAGCGAGTGATTTATCATAGTATGTAAGTGCTTCTGTAGATTCTCCTTGTTTATATCTGGCTCGACCTAGTTGATGATAAATAGATGCCTTATCACTTTCATCCGTTGTTTGATGAAGTAAAACTTCATAAACTTCTTGAGCCTTGTTAAACTGACCCATATTAATTAGCAATAATCCTAATCTCTCCCGTCCTTCTTGGTTTGGAAAGGTCTCTTCTCGTATGCGATCAGTAAGAGTACGAAGATCTTGATCATTGTCATTGGTCAATGTTAAATTCACTTCATATAGATCATTATTTCCATCCATTGGTATAATGTCTCCAATACGGAAAATAGTATGCATAGAGAAGAGAACTTCATCTTCTGTATGAAAATAACTAACATCTGTAACACAAGCAAATGGAGTTGTTGAATATGTAGGATTAATGGACATAACAAATAGAATTCCAACAAGTCCAGGATTTGTAGCAGCTTGTGGTGCAAATAAGAGAGAAACCTCACGATTTTTACTAGTTGATAGAAAATTATTAAATGAAAGAAGTCCACCTTTAGTTTTTGTCATTTTGGTGAAATCTTCTTTTGAAAGACATTGCCCGCGATAAACTGTAAATGTTTTATCAGACTGATCACCATTAAATTGTTCCGAATGTAGCCGTTGAATATCACGATGTAGATCCTTAATAAAGAAACCCATTCGAACAATAATGTCAGCATCCATTGTTCTTAATGCTTGATTGAGCATACGATATAAAAATGCATCCCATGTATACCACCATATGGGTATCTTGTTTTTGTAGGTAGCTTGTAATTTATTAATATTTTCTAATTCGTGTCCCTTATTATTATATACGTCACGACAATAAGTAATAAATTCTTTGAAATGTTTATCTTCAAAATCGATGGTTAATAAGATCTCTTTCAAGATCTGAGTATACATAAATGATCGATCTAATTGATCCAACTTTTTGTTTGGCGCCACAATGCTGATTGATGTGGTATTTTGCTCACACTGGTGAGCGGCTTGTTTAAGAACTTCACAGATTGATGTTATTTCTGTGAAGACTCCTTTTATTTTGGACCATTCTTTGGCCCATTGTTGATGCCATTCTTGATTGTTACAAAAAACGAAAATGGTGTCTACTTGTGCCATACCATGCACATGAGGCACAATATGTTGTCCAAGTGAACCAGAAACAACCATACATACTTTGTTGTTGTTAATGGCTCGAATGAATTTAACACATTCTTCACCACCAGTAAACGTGTCTACGTTGTTAATCACACGTTTTAGTTGCTTGGTTGTATTACTACAATCAGCATTGTTTTCATTAATGTTGTTGTCTAACTAAATCAGGAGGACATGTTGCATTCTTTGAAGTTCATACGTTGATTTGCAGTTGTACTCCTGAACAGACCAGATGTTGAGTGAATTTTTTTTGTGCGACTTGGTTTGCTAGTTGCCATTGACTGATTATTTGTTATTTGTAATATGAATGTGTTGTATTTGAGTAGTTCGAAAAATTTTGTGAATGAAAGAATTATAAAAGTGGCTCATTTTATAGTGTTTCTACATTCTATCAAGATTTGTTTTTCTGGTTTTTTTTTGAATTGGACAACAACGTCTTTTTCAATAACTATTGTACATGTTGTTATGAAAAACAAATAAACATCAACAGTAACATTCCTAATAATAAGCAGAGAACGAAAAACGAAAGGTTAAGTGTTTGCATAACTGTCAGTCACTAAAATAATCCGTAAAAAGAAGTTTTACTACGTATTTGATAAAGCAAAAAAAAGAACCTCCACGAGATTTTTTTCTTTCTGCTCTCATGTTTGATGTTGTTGAAAACTCGAACGTTCGAAATAGTTATTTTGTGGAAGACATTATAATTTATAAAAATCGACAAGATACTGCTATTAGAACACAAAATACTTGCATTCATTTATTTGTAAGGTCGAATATATGAAACATGAGGAAAACTTTTTACATTAGTTGCTACTTCTGGTTGTTTTGAATTTTGTTTTTTTCTACTTAACAGCAAAATATGAAACGATACGTAATTGTGTATAATTTAGCCAAATTATTTAAAGACTTTTCTAATCTTATTATATTCAATTTATTCGTATACTATATGCTTTAAATCAGTTAATAGTATTTCTTCGTTAGTTCAATCATCATAAATCTAGTGAAATCATATCAAAAAAGTAACATAAGGTATCGTATCTCGAAAATATTATTTCTTTACATATCACATTCATATTATGATTAGTAACATCGATTATTATTGTTCAGTTTTACTGTTTCATCCATTTGATCAACATTTATTAATCAAAAGTAACAAAAAACAAAAAACATCTATGTCTTTTATCATATTCTCTAAAATCACTATACTCTATAATAAAACAAATAAATTATGCCGCTTTTGTTTGTTCCCGCCATTTATTTATTGAATCTTCAATTAATGTTTCTAATAGATCTGGTTTATTAAAGATAAAATATTTATCTGTTGAATCAATTATTCGATGTTGAGCTTGATTACGAAATAATTGCGTACGAAGATATTCTTGTGATTCATCCCATGCCTTAAAATCATACAAATAAAAGATAGAAATTTATTAACAAACTATTACATACTTTATTCAAATCATTGGATAGATTTTTATCATATTGTCGACGATTTATAATTGTTACAGATACATTCGAAGGAAAAGCTTTCATTCGCCAAGCCAATCTACAAAATGATTATTCGTCTTTTTTTGAATATCATCAGTATATCTTACTTCATTTGTGAAAATGTTTCATTCATATGAAAATGTTCTCGAATAGATGAGCTAATATGAGAAGCATCACAAAGTAAATGTTTCTAAAAATAATTATCATTAAAAACAAATTATTATTTTATCAATTAAATTCAATTACTTGTCGATGATTAATATTAATAGTATCATCTTCTATATTGTTCGATTTTTCTATACCTAATGGTGTATCAATCATCGATGTTAAAACAAGAAGTCGATTGATACCAACAGCTGCTGAAAGTTGCATAGCATGTAAACGAGGAATTATTTTATTATACCTAAATATTACATTTTAGTTCAAGAAAATAATTTCATCAGAAGAAAAAAAATACCAATGGTCTTTCCATTGTTCATTATCAAATAATGTTTCGACTAATGGATCAATTAAAAACAAATGACTAACATCACTAAAAAATAATAAACAAAGTTAGTATAGTTACATAATAATACTTTGAAAATCGTCTATGAACTTACAATTCATACATTTGTGTATAAAAACGAGTAACTATAGCACCAAGATCATTACCGACTAGAATAAATGGTTTTGCTTGTTGACTTGTTGCAGTTATAAGACGATTAAGATCTTCCGACATTCTAATAAAAATAATAATCAATTAATCTTTATTGAAAACTTTTGTATTTACTTTTCTACAGTATAATCCATGCCACGATGTTTAGGTATTTTCTTTTCTTTATCATCTGACTCTATATTGAAAATTATAAAAAAAATTTCTATATATTTTAAATAAAAAATTACTTTGTTCAGTTGTTGAACTTGATGATGGAGGTGGTGGCGGTGGTGGGTCACTCATTCCTAAACCAGCTCGATCATAAATACATACCTAAACCCAAACAATTGACAACAGAAATAAAATAACGATTAATTTACTGTAGTTATCTGTTTGAGACTTTCTTGAAGAGGAAGCCAAATATCCGAATTCATACCAGTTGGAGCATCTAAGATAACTATTAGAAAAATAAAAAAATACATTTATTATATTTTCTAAGCAGTTTCATATTTATACCTGTTGGTAAACCACGTCCTCGACAACGTAAAAATAATTTTTGACCATATCCGATATCATATGGTAAACCTAAAAGAATATTAAATAAAAAGAAAAGAAACGTATGAATTATTGTTTAACTACCATGTTGTCCAAGTAAAGGTGCTTCCCGTTTCAACGATGCATAATTAATTAATGGTGGAACAATAACTATAAAGCATAATAATTGAACTAATTTCCATAATGTATGAATGCATGTTTTCAATAGATTTTTTACTGTAATAGCGACCATTGATTAATCTACAGTTGTAATAAGAAAAAAGCTTTATTTATTATTTCTATTCAATATTTTATACCAAAAAAAACAAACATATTTATATCAATTCAAAATTTTATACAATTATTAAAACTTAACACAGTCTATGTAAAATATTTTAGTATCAACTAATCAAACATCTGCGCCACTAGATGTCTAAATGATATTTTTAGAATCAATACTCCTTATTGATCACACACTTTTCAATGACTAAACCTTATGTTTATGTCATATATTTGTATTATTAGACTTCATTTACGATCAGATAACAATATAACATCATGTTTTCAAATAGTAATAACTCAATTTATTTTTGATAAGTTTGATTATCCATCGTCATATATCTAAAGTTATCATAACTGACATGACATAGGAAATTGAATTACTAGTTGTCCATCGTTTGCTTTGATTTTTACCCATAATATAAACACAGAAGTGAGAGAACAGTGTATGTATGTATATATGTATATATATGTCTGGCATTATCTTATAAAAGACAGACAAAAACAATAGAAGAGAAAAGTTATATGTCATGAAATGAGAAAATAGGACAATACATACAAGCTAAGTGTTTGTTTTTTTTTAATTTACATCAAACGCGTCACAGTACGAACAAATACAAAATGAAAACAATCAAATCAATGGTGTACATATATGTACACTGATTATATAAAAAAACAAAAAAAAAAGTGAAGTTTGAATGGAACATAACAAGAAAAACGAAAAAAAAAAGGAAAACAAATTTTGATTTTATTCTTCATCCTCGGATTCTGTATTATTATTATTATTATCATCACAATTATCATCATCATCGTCATGTCGATTATTATTAACTGATGTTAATGTCTGATACGTCTACGAAATAAAAATCATATTAAAATTTTTTTTAATTATTTTTCTCCTACTTGATGTTGAACATGATGTTGTGGTGGTTGTAAAGTTTGAAATTGTTGCATTTGAACCTTTAAAAAAAGAAAACAAGATAAATATCTATATAAAATAAAATCCATAATATCAAGATAAATAAGCACATATGTACACACACATATACATCATAGAGAAAGCAGAAAATTTAAACTTATCTTTATATTATTGATTAAAAAGAAAAACAAAAATCGAAATTTTTTGAAATTTTTTGCTCGTTTTTATATCATGTTTTTTCTATCTTTGTGGTATATTATGTACACACCAAACAAGAACAACAAATAAAAAATAATTGACAACAAAATTATTTTGAAATAAATAAAAAACAAAAAAAAAATGAAGAAGAAAAAGAAAAAGAGATAGAATAAAACCGGAAGAATTTTAAATGCTAATGCTGATGTTGCCTATACTCATTAATTATCGTTGACAGTTTTATCTTTAGATTAGTTATATATACAATATACACATGATCTTTATCAAGAATATGAAAAAGAAAAACAAAAGAAAAAGTTATTCATTAGTTATATGTACAGACATAAATGATAACAAATAAAAATTGTTAACTATTTTTATATACTCAGAATGGAAGAGAAATAGTATGTGTATATGTGTGTGTTTATGTGCATATTACTCGTACTATTCACTAATATCCTACATTGTTATGTGGCATTGGTAATGAATAAGCATTATAGTGAGGAAAAAGAGAGTTTGTCAAACTATTATCTTGGAAGTTATTCATTGGAGCAAAAGCCTAAAAAAAAACGTTTTATGTAAATTTCATTGATTATTTTTTTGTTTTGAAATTATACTTGTGGTTGAAAAGATTGCATTGGATTAAATGTTGGTAATTGATATGACGGAGAAGAGTACTGTCGTTGTTGTTGTTGTTGTTGCTATATAGAAGAATAAAATTTTTGAATTTAAATAAAACAAAATAATTTACATCCTGGTGTATCCTCATTTGTTGCTCAGAATGATGCTGTTGTTGTGGTGGTGGTGGTGGCGGTGGTAATACCTGAGATGCTGAATTTGATTTTGCTGCTTTTTTATTTGCTAATTTAAATTCAGTCATTTCCTAAAAATAAAATAAAAATATCATAAGACAAACAAAACAAACTATTGTAACTCACTTTTTCATATCTTTCTTTATCTCGTTGTGCTGATTCTTCATAAGTTAGTTTTCCTTCAGGTGCTGTATGATTCCATCTATCACCTAATTCTTTTGCTATTTCACCGACAGATAAACTTGCGTTTAATGCTTTTAATTTTGGTCGTTCTTCTTTACAATAATGAAAAAACGCTGATCTAAATATAATATAAATGATTTCATTTTATATCTTGATGAAATAAATTTTTTTGTTTCTTACAATGGTCGTTTTGGTGCGAGTGGATCTTTTTTCTTTTTTTTCGTTCGTTTTTCACCAGGTTGATAAACAGCCATTTCACGTTCAAATCGTTGTTTATCAGCTTCAGCTTGTGCAGCAAATTTTGTTTTATCACTTTCAGTCATTGTCTAAATAGACCAAAAAAAACAATAAAATCCATAGACTATTCGAAATAAAATCGTTTGCTCAATCTTATACTATTGTTATCTGTCCTTCATCAAAAGAGTAAAAAAATCTAGTCAATGATTTTAATTCATTTTGACACATAAAATTTATAAGATCAGGGATGTAATCAAAGGGTTTCAGCTTTTTTCTTTTGTCAATGAAATGTTATATGTAGAAGAGTCTAGAGGGAACAAAAATTCTATTTTTTTCTTTTGGTTACTTTGATAGTAATATGTGATTACGAGTTCATATCTGATGTGATTTTGTATTGTTTCTCTTACCTTCCATTTTTCAGCACATTTCTTTGAAAATTCACTAAAATTTGCATTTTCATTTGGATATGCTTTTCGATGTTCATCTCGACATTTTTGGACAAAAAATGTATATGCACTCATTCGACCTTTTGGTTTATGCAACTCTTTTGGTTGATGATGTTGCTCACGATTTTGTACTTGTGATGATGGAAGCATATGATGAGCTTGTTGTTGTTGTATTAGTTGTGATTGATGTTGTTGTGGATGATAACTGCAAAAAAAAAGTAAAGGTATTCATTCATTCATTCAACAAACATCTTTTCTTCTCTACTTACTACATAGGTATTTGCGGAGTTTGTTGTTGTTGCTGCTGTTGTTGTTGTGGAGGTACTATCATTGATTGATAATATAATGCAGAAGTCATTTTTAAATATATAATTATACTGAATTACATGGAGAATTAATCGATCTGTAATTGAAGAATTTTTTATAACTATTATCAGTAATAGTTTCATCATCATTATCATCATCGGCATGAATGCGTACGTTAAAAAAAAGCCTTCAGGAAAACTAAATAGAATTTTCTTTTTTTCGTCTTCTTCTTTTTCTGTGCGTATACATGTGGCAATAGTGGTGGTGGTGGTGGTGATGATGATGATGATAGGGCTCGCCTCATATATATATATATATGTATATATTGTAAGAGAAAAAAAAGTATCGAAGAACACGCGTGTAGACTCAAATATATGTACTTAAAAAAAAAGAGATAATTTTGATAGGAAAAGAAAAAAACAGCATCTTGAGTGATGGCATGGTAATGTATGTAAACGAAAGGTCTCCCTCTTTTTTCTCTCCCTCTCTTTTTCTAATCGCTCTTCTTTCTCTTTGTGTTAGCCTCGGCCACATCAATGCATATAATTATTTCTTGTTTCGTTCGTAAAAGAAAAATAGACGAGGGAGAGAGAGAGAGGGGGAGAAGGGAAAAGAGGATTGTTCTGTTCTTAGCAATCGGAGAATATGCCCTCTTCTTCTTCTTCTTCCTTCTCCTCTCTTTTTTTCTTGGCTCGTTTGAGAACAGAATAGAGAGAGAAAAAACTCAATTAATCGGGGGCATATATAGGTTTGAAAAGTTTGCCGGACATGTTCGCCAAGGGTCAAGTAAAGAGAGAACGAGAGAGAAAGAGAAAGAGAGAAGAGCAAATAAATGAATGACCACGATGATTTATCGCCTATTGATTTTGGGTCAACTATGAAAATAAATTTTTTTTTAAATATTTCTTTTGGAATTACAAGTAGAAAAGAATGACAATAATAATTATGAACAACGACAGTTGATTGTCAAATATAATTCTTTTAACCATTTTCGAATATTCTCTCTAATCAAAAGAATAAATGTCATTAATAACTAAAAAGGTTATGTGAAATATAAACAATGACAAAATCAGATGAAGAAGTAAACGGGTATATATTGATATATCATGCATATATATATACGTATTTTTTTTGTTGGTCCAACTGATAATGACAGCTACTTGACAAATCATTATCGAGTCTTTCATCGTACACGTATGTTCGCTCATTCAAAATCAATTAGTAAAAGACAATTTATATGCGAACATCATACATTCAAGTGTTCGACACGAGCAATTATGCATTAACAAAAGAATGTCAAGTGATTCGATGAATAGATAGATAAAAAAAAAGAAACGTAAGAAAAAAGAACAAGAGATCGATACAATACAATTCTTATTTATTAAAACAAAAGGAAATAAGTATTAATTGAAAGAAAAACAATTGCTTTACTCAAATCGATATACATATATTAATTGAAATATGTTATTATTGAAAACAAAATAATAAACAAAATTTTTGTTTAAAAATCAGAAATTGAATAAAAAACAATTCGATCGATCATGTCTTTTTTTTTCGTTCTTTACTATATGATTGGGTAAAGAGTATTACCAATCAAATGAAATACAGAATGCATAACTATATGATAATACTTTTTATTAGATGATTTGTTTAGAGTAATTTTCGGTTTTTTTTCTTCTTTTACTTATACTTAGGTTGATCAACGTCATTTTTGTTTTTGCTAGTAATTGATAATCAATATTAATGATCGTAAAAAAACAGAAATGAAAAATCCCAATTAATATATTTCGATTATTTATCTAAAGATAAACGATAAAGATTGATAATTATCTTAATTAAACCAGAATGATCCACCAATCGATGAAGCAAAAATAAAATGATGTACGACTTCACCTGAATTGACAGATTATTTTATTACTGGTAAGTATCATTTGTCAATGTTAGAAAAAGTATATAAACTAAGAAAACGAGTTGCTCAAACAAATTTACATAAAGATCCAAGCTAAATATCGAATATTCATGTATTTTTTATATTCATAGATTCGAAAAAATAAAGCTCAAATGAATGGTATTAATCGATGAATAAATACGCATATCTTTTCGATAATTTAAATCATATGAAAAATCTTTCATCGAATGGATAAGATGATACAATTCGATTTATTGATTTTTGATCATGTAAAATACTTTATTATGTATCACAAGTAAAGAACTATTATTTTGTTTATTTGTTAAATTTAGAATTTGTTTCATCGAGCTCGATATCTATGTAATGAACAATGAGAACTTGATTATATTTTTATAAAACTTTTTCTTTTCGTATGTGTATTTTTCTTAATTCATTGTATATTTAATAAAAAATATATATTTATGAAAATAATCTGAATGAATTAGTATGAATATATTAAAAATGAATAAAAAAATAATGATATTCGATCTAAATTAGGTAGTATTTAAAATATTTATAGATCTTAAATTGACTAATGAGTGATACGGCAGCAATTGAATTATTAAAACGAGCAGTTCAACTCGATGGTGAACAAAAATATCCAGATGCATTAACTTGTTATTCCGAAGCTATACGAATGTTATTGAAGGTTGTTAAAGGTAAGACATATAAACATTGAAAGTATTCTGTAAGTCTTATATCGAATGAAAATCTAAGATTGAACAATGTTGGATATATTAGTTTTTTTTGGGTGGTCATCGTCCATTCGAGATTGTTCTATTGAAAAGAAATGATTTTATCATTGTTAATTTTTACTAGAGATTCCAATGAGTGAAGAACGAAAACGAACAGCATATCAACAGAAAATTACTGAATGTATGGATCGTGCTGAAAAATTAAAAGAATTTATTGAACAAAAAAAAGGTATAGTTAAATATTTTTGTTTGAGAACAAAAAAGAAGGTTTTTTTTATCTTTTCTTTTGTTGATTATTATTCTATAAAATAATACAAACGTATAAAAGTAGTGTGTAAGAACAGATGATAACATCGTCTTTTATCTTTAACCACGTGAATAAGACAAAGTATTGTCATTTTTTTTGACGCTTATATCGCCTGATATTATTAAAATCATGCTTAGACTAAGCCTTTTCGTTTTGTATATATCCCAATCTTCCCTTTTTATCCATGGACAAAATGTTCAAACAATGCCTGTACAAGAAGCTTGTGTACCATCAAACATTACACTTCGTTGTCCAAATAATTATGTTATAGTTGTTCGAAGTGCATCACATGGTGTTGCACAAATATCGAATACATGCTCCTATAAACCTGGAGATTGCATTGTTGATTCAATGAATAGTATTTCATGTCTAACAGATTCAACTCAATGTTTAATCCATGCAACAAAAAAACTCCTACCACAATGTAACGATCAATATAGTAGTTATTTTCATATTGAATATGATTGTATTCCAATATCAATGGATGATACATCAAAAGAATATAATATATGTCAAAATAGTACTGAAATAACAAGCGATCATGGGATTATTCGAAGTCCAGGTTATCCAACACAATTTCAATTAACATCATTCGAATGTTTTCGTTTTATACATGTATCTGATGATAAAATAATTCGTTTATGGTTAACTGATCTTTATATTGATTCAAATTGTATAAACGATCATGTTTATGTTGTTGATAATGTTCAAACATATAAACATTGTGGTTTACAACGATATGCTTATCCATATTTATGTTCATCAACTATTATTATTCAATATTTAGTTAAAAATACATTTAAAGAATATAGAGGAATGAGAATGTATTTTGAAATTGTTAATCGACCAGTAAATGATAATTGTCCAAAATTAACAGTAACACCTGTACCAAGTACAACAATAACTGTTACAACTATTGAACCAGGTACAACTACAAATACTCCAATTTATGTTTTACTGGGCATTGCATCACCTACACGAAGTTTTCAATTATGTGCTGGTAAGAAAAAAACGTTCATTCTCTTTTTAATATTTCAAAAACGATCTATTTAGGTGAATCATATACTATTCAATGTCCAACGAATTATGTTATAGCAGTTATAACAAATATATTTGGTGTAACATCATCCGATGAATGTGAATTACATGATGCTTCTAAACATTGTGTTATAACGACAAGTCCAATATTTTTATGTGGTCAAACATGTTTCTATATGTATCCCGGAAATCAATTAATTTCATCATGTAATAATACAATAGCTGCTTATCAATATGTTGAATATCAATGTATACCAATAAAAACTCCTTTAATTTCACCAAATACATCATGTTCAAATATAAATATACATATTGATCGTAATGGTCAATTTCAAAGTTATAATTATCCAAAATTAACAAATATGAATTGTACATATCATTTACAAACAAAACCAGGTTATATCATGCATATATATGCATTAGATATAAGTTTAAATAATTATAATCCAATATGTCAATTAAATAAAATGTCATTGTTTGAAACTACTAAAAATCAAAGTTTAGATTTTTGTGAACAACGTACAAATAGTTTAATTTATTCAAGTTGTTCAAATCAACTTGATTTACATTACATGATTATGAATGATTTACAAGCATATTCATATGGTATTAAATTATATATTGAAAGTCAAGCACAACCATTTGGCTGGTCTTGTGGTGAAGAAACTGTAACAACATTAACAAATCCAACAACCATTCAAACCACGCCAACACCACCAAAACCAACATCAATAACAAGTCTATCAATTATGACTGTACTTGATCCAATTGAATACGATATATGTTATAATGATACATTTATTCATACTTGTCCATATGGTTTTACATTTATGATACTTAATGCTTTTTATGGAGTTAAAAACCAATCATTAAATAAATGTGAATTTATTCAAAATGATTGTACACAAGAAGCATTGTTGGCAATAACACAATGTCAAACGGATGCGCCGAATTGTTATTTATCATATTCAAATAAACGTCGATTAGCTCATTGTTTAGATAAATATGCTGATTATTTACATATAACATATCAATGTGTACCAAGTTTTCCAATTAGTTCAACATCGAACTTAGTTGTGTATGATATATGTGATACAAATAAACAAATTACAGATATTAATGGTATTGTTATAAGTCCAAATTTTCCTAGTTATCAACAAACAAATAAGGAATGTCAAAGAGAAATTCTTGGTATACATGATAGAGCATTAAAAATCTGGATAAATGAATTGGCTATATCGAGTAATACTCCAGGTAAATATTACTTTTTATATATGAATATTTCTTTTTCTATCTTATTTTTATTTTTAGTCAAATCTGATAAACCAGATTTTATAATTTATAAAACAAATAATATTGAACCAACATTTCGTGATATATGTATAGATGATTATTTAATTATAAATACACCACATATAGCATATATTTATTGTGGTATAAGAAAATTATCTCTTGAACCTATTTGTACTACAAGTGTAATAATACAATATAAAACAACTTCATCAACAAATCCTTTTTCAAAAGGTTTTAAATTTTATTTTGAATGGATTGAAAAACCAATGGATATATTATGTATTGGAAATCCATCAACATATAATCCATTAATATCAACAACAACATCAATTAATGAACCATTACCAATATGGGCACAAAATTTAGATGTTTCATATGTTCTAAGTAAACAAATTTGTCTTGGTACAACGGATACATTACAATGTCCACGTTCAAATGATTACGTAATTTCTATAAGAAATTCAAATTATGCTGTAACTGGCACTGGTTTCTGTGAAATTCCATCATTTTCCCATTGTCTACAAGAAACATCACTTAGTTTAACATGTACACATTCATGTTTTCTTGAATATATCATTCCTAAACCATTACCACAATGTGAAGATCAAACTGCTGATTATATTAAAATTGAATATGAATGTATACCAACACGATTACCTAATCATGAAAATCCAATTGATATATGTGCATCAACAACAACAGATACAATTGCAATTGATAAAGGAATGATAATAAGTCCATATTATCCATCATTAAGTTCGACACATATTTGTCCAAAAACAATTGAAACAATACCAAATAAATTATGGATGATTTATATTGTTGATCTATTTTTAGAAGCAGAAGATGAATATGGTGATTGTATTCATGCATCATTGGAAATTTATGATGGAAATGATAAAAGAATTATTTGTGGTTTACAACAACCAGAACTTGTTTTAATTAGTTGTTCAAATATTGTTCAATTTAATTTTATATCAAATCAACAAGCACTTGGTTATCGTGGCTTTAAAATTTATTTTAAAACTATTGATGTACCTATAGGATGGTCATGTGTACCAAGTGGACTTACAACAACATCAACGACACAAACATCTCCTTCAATAACTTTATTACCACCAAGTCTTCAAGGTGAATTTTATAAGAAATGAATAATAAAAATAAATCCTTCTTTTTAGTCGTTGCTTATGGTGGTACAACAATGCATGGCAGTCGTCACTATTGTCAATTTCCATTTATTTATCAAGGAAAACAATATACGAATTGTATCGCAGATAAACCACCACATGCAACGCCCGATCAAACTGTATTTGATCCATGGTGTTCATTAACTCATAATCATGATATAGATGATCAATGGGGTTTTTGTGATATTGGTGTTACAGATTCAACAATTTATAGTATATGTCAAAATCAATTACAAACAATTCAATGTTCACCTGGTTATGTTATTGATATATTAACTGCTGATTATGCTACTAAACAAGATGGAACAATTTCATGTAATTACAATAAAAATGATTGTTTTCAAAGTGATGCATCAACAATAGAAAATTTATGTTCTGGTAAAACATCATGTACAGTATATCATTATGCTAAAACATTAGTATCATGTCAAAATCGATTATCAACTTATTTACATATTGATTATACATGTGTACCAAATGATATTGAAACTATTATGACATATGATATATGTCATAATGATTCAAGACCAACGGGTGATATTCGTCGTGGTTTTTTAATTTCACCAAATTTTCCTAATGTCAAAAATAATATTAATTGTATATATGATTTACATATATTAAAACCACATCAAGATATTTATCTTTATATTATTGATATGGATTTAGATGCACCAAATTTATTGGGACAAAGTTGTACAAATGATCGATTGATTATTCGAGCTGATAATAGTGTGACAGAATGGTGTGGACGATCTTATACAAATCTTTTATTGAAAACATGTCATACATCTGTATCGGTACAATTAATTCGAGCATTAGAAGCTAAAGGACGTGGTGTAAAACTTTATTTTGAATTTCGTCAACGATCTCCAAATGAAATATGCGAAGAAATTATTACACCTGGTACAACACAGCCAACATTAACTACTCTACCAACAACAATACCATCTCGACCAGATTATTTTCCTGATCCATCTCCTCATTTAATAAAAACTTTATGTTATCCTGATGTATCCGCTTTATTTGGTACAAATAATTTTCAATGTCCATCCGATTATATAATCGTTATTCATCGAGCATTCTATGGTAAAGGTACTGGATGTGTATATACACCCGGTGATTGTACAAATGAAGCTGATAATATCTATCGATTATGTTCAGGAAAACAAGCATGTTCAGTATCATTTCTAAATACATTTTATTTATCTGAATGCGGTCAAACTATCGCTAATTATCTTTTTGTTCAATATCAATGTTTACCAACATCAACAATTGTTTCAAATATTAATGATATATGTACAAATCAAAATAATCAATTATCTCCAATTAGTGGTATATTACAAAGTACATTATATCCATCTTATACACAAACACAATGTATAAATATTACATTAAGTCCACCAGAAAATTCGAATTTTATTATATATATGTATTTACTTGATCTTAATATTGATATACCCGATGTACAAACAGGTAATTGTACGAATGATTATCTTTTATTATCATATCAATGTAATAATAAATTCTATGATATATATTTATGTGGTATACATCAAACGGAACTTTTATTTGATACATGTTTAACAACTGATAAAATATTCATTTCATATAATTTAACAAATCAAAATCCACAATCTAAACGTGGGTTTTCTCTTCTTTATCATCTATTACCAACATCAATTAAAACTACATTACCATCAACAACAATAACAACAACAACAACTTTATCTACAACAATGACAACATCAATAAGTAGATCCAGTTCAATGAGTACAACAACATTACAATCAACTGTTACATTTTCATCAACGAATTCAACAGCAAAACATCCTACTGAAGTAGATACTTCAACGAAACCTACTAATCATAATCCTAATAATAAATTTTTGATTATTGGTATTATTACTGGTGTTATAGTTGTATTATTATGTTTAATTATTATTATATATTATCGACGTCGTCGTTCACATTCGAAAACTATTGACGAAATGCCATTGCAAAATAGACGAAATACTAGTTTAGATCAGAATTTTATTATTGTTGAATCGATTGAAAAGCGTACTAGTATTCCTGTAGCAGCGTTGAGAGGTCCTGCAATATCATCATTTCGTAGTCCTTTTCGCACGCGACAAATTACTGAAAATTCTATAGATACTTGAAATTTAATAGATTTTTTATTTTTTTAAATCGCTAATAAAAACGAAAATGTGTCATTTTAAATGTTTTTTTCTCTCTTAATTTTAGTTAAAACTTATCATGAACAAATTCAAATAAAAGATGGTGCAATAGGAAATAGTTATGAAAAAATATTCAGTCGTTTCTTAGATGAAAATGTTACAGAAATAATTGTTCAAGATCCATATATACGCGCATATCATCAAGTCTCTTTTTTTTTATTTTTTTCTAATAACAAAATTCTCATTTAGATTACCAATTTTTTACGTTTTTGTGAAGCTGGTATTAAATCACCAGCAAAGATTAAACAAATAACTTTAATTACAAGTACAGAAACGGTAGATTCGTTTCTATTAATTTATTATTTTCAATAATCTTTTATTTAGAATGAACAAACAAAAAAAATACAAATTGAACAATTAAATGAATTTAAAGAACATCTTAGAAAAACACATTCAATTGAACTTATCATAAATTATGTAACTGGATTACATGATCGAGAAATTAAGTAAATTTTCTTCGTATTTTTGTTTTCAATGATTGAATTTTTTTCTGTAAAGATTAAATAATGGATGGATCATTAAAATTGGTCGAGGACTTGATTTTTATAAACCTCCAGAATGTAAATTATCCATTGGATATTATGATCTTGATCTTCGTCCATGTCATCAAACAACTATTGATATCTTTCATACTGAAAGAATTCAATCATCATCATAATAGTTAATTGCATATATTGTATTTTTTTTAATCGTTATTAAAAGCAATTTCGAGAATTTCTTATATTTTTTTATTTAATAAAAATCTGACATGTTTCCCTAAAAATGTATTTAGATGGAAAATATACGCATAGGTTTTATCGGTGGTGGTCGTATTATCCAAGCATTACTTGATGGACTTAATGAAGCTGATTATCTTGACAAGATGCATATTTGGATTAGTTGTCCATCTGCTGAAGATGATAAATCATTATTGAAACGTTTTAATAATACTATTCATATGACAACATCAAATACTGTCTTATGTAATAATTGTGATATTGTATTATTTGCTGTAAAAGCAAAATTAATAAAATCTGTTTGTCAAGAAATTATAAAAACTGTCGATAATGAACGTCTAAAAAATATATTATTTATATCAATAATTCCCGGTCTAACTATTTCAACATTAAATCAATGGCTTCAAACAGGAGAAAATATTGTTCGAATTATGTACAATGTTAATGTTGCTAAACGTAATGGTTCATATGCTATATCATCACCAAAAACTAATGATAATAATCCATTGCAAATCTATTTAAAATCAGTTTTCGATAAAGTAGCTTATTTTGCTGGTAATGTTACAGAAACTGAATTAGATATCATGTGTGCATTGATTGGTAGTGGTCCAGCATTTTTTTGTACTGCTGTTGAAGGTTTAGCTGATGGTGCAGTTAAAGCTGGTCTTTCACGTCAGTTAGCGAATACATTAGCTGCTCGGACTATGCTTGGCTGTGCTGATATTTTAGTATCATCATCTAAACATCCTGCTGAACTTAAAAATGATATTTCAACACCAGCTGGTACAACCATTTATGGTTTACATGAACTTGAAAATAAAGGTGTACGAGGGGCATATATGGATGCACTTATGTCAGCATTTAATCGTGCACAGACAATGGCTGATCAATTAGCTAAAGAAACGAAATGACATTATGTTTTTTTTATTTTTTATTTCTAGATAATGTTAATAAATATTCGAAATCTCATTATTCGTCAACCGACGAATTTCTGTCGTTTGAATTCTTTTATTCGTTTCACTGGTTCATTACAAAACAAACATAAAGAACATTCAATAAAATCTAAAGATTTTTTTGTTGATCCAAATATCGCTCAAACATTTGAAAAAATTAAAAAGGGCGATTTTATTCCAACATCAACAATTGATACAAGTTCATTAAAAAATATTCAAAATTTATCATCAATTGAACCAAAATATGATAACCATTTAACAAAACGTGAAATTCTTCGGCAGGATTTTCTTGGTAAACTTGTCTATACGGGAAAATTAGATAAACCATTTCGAGCAGCAAAATCTCTTTCATTAGCATCAAGTTTAGGTGGTGCTATTTGTTATCCAATTATGTTACCGAAAATTCTTGCAGAAACATCATCTATATTTATGGCAATTGGTTATACAATAATATCAGCAACATTTGTTTTATTAACACCATCACTTATACAATTTATATCTAAACGATATTTAACATCATTATATTATCATGAACAAAGAGATGAATTTACTGGATTTTATAAGAATTTTTTTATGATGGAAAGACAAATTAAATTTCGTCCTGAAGATGTTCAAGTACCACCTATAACTGGCATGTTTACATCAATGCTTATTAAAAATCAACCATTCTTTATAAATCATGATGATTTTTATGATAAACCAATTTTAATGAAAATGTTAGGTTATGATAAAGAATTTGATTTTAGTAAATATACAAAAGATATACAAAAAGATGTTGATGATGATGATGATGATGATATTACTGTTAACAATACAAAACAAAAAATGAAATAAACATAAAACAAAACAATATAGTTGTTTTTTATTAGTCATTTGAAATAAAAATTTACCAAAACGTTGTTTTACAAAAATATATATTGTTCTAATAAAAAAAGTCAAAGATATTGAACTAAAAAACAAAATTATACATTCGAGTAAATTTTCTAAGCTATATATTCAGAGTATTAAAGTTATTCTTTGATCTGTTCAGTCACAAAATATAATAATATGTTCATTAATAAAAGACAAAAAATCTCAACAGTGTTGCTAGACTTATTTTCTAAAAGCAATCAAAAAGCAAATCGAATTCATTATTTTTGCAATTTACTTTAAATATGTTATTAAACTAATCCGATTATATTTTATTCGATTTGATTGTCTAAAGTAGATATAGATCATATTCATCAACTGACATACGTTTAACAATAAACTAAAATTTAACTTGTAATATAATATTTATTGGTAAAATGAATTTTCTCTATATTCGAATATAGCCTTGCACATCTTTACTTAATGGATATCTTGAGAATATATACGAATTTTCTATATATTTCTATCGATGAATATAAGCTTTTATGTTTATCAGAGACATCAACAAGAATAATTTTAGTAAGTATGTGGTAGAAATACACATGAAGTATTCGATTTCATTAATATGATCAAGTTGACACCTTTTTAAAAATGTAAAGAATAAGACACTCTTTTAAATTGGAGACAAACTTCTTCCGTGAGAAAAATTTTCTACAAGTTAAAAATGGAAAGAAAAAGCAGTTATGAAGAGTGTATCAATAATAAACTAATAAGCTCTTATTAAAATTGCAATATAAAAAAGTAACTGGTTTAAAAGATTTTTTTTTCTTCTCTTTGTTACAAAAAAATGTTTACTAAAACTCAAAATTTTGTCAAATATTCTCATAGAGATTTCCTAAAAAAGATAGTGTTATTATCGATCCAATGAACGTTTTCTTTGTCTCTAAATTCAATTGAAAAAAAAAGAAAATGCTCTAGGTGATATTAAATAAAAATTGACATATCTCATTTGAAACATAGATTTATAGTCTTCAAAAAAATTATTGTAACCTAAAGGCTTCTAAGAAAACATATAAAAATATCAATGAAAGTCAAAATAAAGCTTCTTCTCTTACATATTCTTTTAGATATATATGATAATGTTTATAGTGGTTGATCATGCCAGTTCAGTACAGGTTTTGACGACAACGAACAAATAAAAATATCCATGTCCGAATTATCAACAAAACCTGCACTTATAGCCCATTATTCAAATATTATTTCTTTGATTCTTACATTAATACATCGTGTGAATTTGGTGTCAGCTTGCATCAACAACACATAGTTTGTTTAGTTGTCGTTTGATGAGTACTTACGCTATTCAACTATTGAAAATTTTCTCTTGCAGAATATTCTTGATGCAGTCGATGATGACGATGACTAGAGAGAAAAAAAGTTATGACTTTTCTTTGTTTCATTTTTAAATACAAATGGTTGACGTTCTACATTACTTCACAAAAGAATCAAATTTAGAGAAAAAAGAGAAGAATAACAGAGTGAGTGAGAGAGAGGAAGGAAAATCATTGTTTAAAACACTTGATATATGATTTAATAGAATATTTTCTATGTTTGTTTGTTTGTTTTTCTCGATTATGAATAGTCAATAAGATGACAAGCTGAAAAAAAGAAATTTTAGGAAAAAAAAAAGAATAGCTAAAAATATTGCTCTACAAATAAAATCAACATACTTTTCTCATCAGCGACTAGTTGTAGTGATAAAAACCTATAAAACTGTCGTGTATGTCGACATACAACATGTCTAATAGCCGGCACAAGTCTAATTTCTCTAGGGCTGTTCTCTACATGCGTGCATAACTATATGAGTATGTAGTATGCGTTCTACAGCACCACTTTGAGTTGTAACTGGCAAGGTGATAGGTAGTCTAATAGAATAGAGTGAGAGCGGATCTTTAGGGAATCGTTGTCGTTGTTGTCGCTCGTCTCGAAACATAAAAATGAGTTTCCGTTTCTTCTTCCCCTTTTTTTCCTCTTTCTCTTGTCGTTATATATATATATTCTACATGTCGCGCATTCTTACTGAAGTTTAACACTTTAAGATAGTAGTAATAACAAAAAAAAAAAAGAAGAAAGTTTCTGCATGAAAGACTTACCATTTTTTTCCTTAACGTTGATTGTAGTAATGGTTGAATGAATAGCAAAATTTTTTCTAATACAATTTTTAACATGCATATCTTCTCTATATATATAGTTGAATAGTTAAAGTATAGAATAGAGAGATGACAATGAATAAACTTTAATTTCTTTTATCGATTTTACTGAACAAATCCAACCAAAAATTTTGCATACATTTTTCATTCTTTCTATAATTAAAATGTTGTTACTTGACAAATATTGATGATAATAAATATTGGTTTAATGATGATATTTCATTATATATCTTTTATCAAATATATACTGAATTGATATTTACTATTCGAAATAGACGAAATTTTCATCAGACAATATTTGTAAAAAGAACTATGTTTATTAAGAGGAGGAGAATGAAGAAGAATAGAACAAATATTACTCATTTTTGTTCTTTTTACATCTTTTCATATGTTGAATAAATCATATAGTTGTTATATTCATTATATATTCTAAATAATAGAGATAATCTTTGTTTTATTGATTCTCTGTTACATCTGTATTACAACAATTTAGCTGCACATGAAAAAAAATAATAGAAGAATAAAGGGTTTACATCAGGATAGGCTATACAAAATATGATATAATTAACATGTCATTTGTTAATATTTATCTTCTTCTCTTCTTGCCATTTGTTGGTGGTGGTGAATGAGCTGGTCGTTTTTTAGATGTAACTGGTGAACGTTTTTTCGATAAAGTTCCACCACTACTACCACCACCACCACCGCCGCTTTTCTTCTTGTTTCGACCACCATTATCTGAATCATACTCAAGCTTTTCAGCATCAGCTAATAAAAAATAAAAAGATTTATTATTAAAAATAACAAAAAAATATTTCAATTAACCTTTTCTTGCTTCTTCTTCAAGTTCGCTCCAACTTTTACCCGATTCTTCATCGGTTCCTAAATTTTCCGATTCTTCTAAACGAACAAAAACAGAAAGACTTCATTTTTATTTTGGTGTAATACTTATAAATATATATACCTGAATTGCTGTCTTCTTCTTCAAATTCATCATCTTCTTCTTCAGCTGAATATTCACTTTCTGATCCTAAGAAAAAACAAGATATTATAAAACTTTTAATTAGACAATTTTCTTTTTTATACCTTGTTCTTCACTTTCTTCTTCATCTGGATCATAATCATCTTCTTCTGCATCTGAATCTTCATCACCACCACCACCACCACCTCCACCTTCGCCTTCACTATCAGCTTCTAAAAATGTCCAACCACCTTGTGCAAAAAATCCTCCAAGATCATCCGTAATTGTTTTCATAATTTTTGCCCAATTCAATGATTGTGGACCTTCCGTATAGCAAAGATCGCATGAACTTCAATTAAAAATAAATTAATTTAGTTTTTTAAATTAATTTTAAAAGAAATTTCATTTTTTTATTTTTACTTAAGCCAATTTTTTATTGGATCAAGTTCCCCCATAGGTATTGCTTGAATCGATTGTGTTTTTTTCGTATAATCTTTCATTATAAATACCATATCGAAATTTTTTAATTGAAAATGTACACGTTCAAAATGAATAAGTTCAACTTCATCAAGAACAACCACAAATGGTGGCTAAAAAAAGCAAAATAAATCAATTTTGTTCCAAACCAAATTTTTCCATATTAATAATTTCTTCTAAGGTTATATAAATTACCCATTCAGTTAATTGAACAACACATGATGTTGTTGGTAATATTAAAACCATTGATCGATGTGGTGTACCATGAAATCCCAATGGACGAAATGGTTGTTCAAATTCGAATGGAAAATTCTTTTGTTGTACAACTTTATCGATAAAACTTTGAAAAGCTCCTTTTAATTTATTACGTAAATCACGTTCAGCCTAAAAACAAATATATTCAGGATTTTGTTTTTCTAATAAGATAAACGAACCTGTTCAGCAAGTATATCATCTTTATCATGCATATTTCGATGTTTACCAAGATCCGTTGTTAATTCTCCGACTTCAGTATAAAATTGTACATCAGTTTGTTTTCGTTTACCAAAAACAATCGCATGTTTTAAATGAAAATGAATGAGAATAATCATTTCATTATCACATGGTTGATAAAATGCATGTGAAATATTTGAATAGAGTATATCGATTTTATCACCACGTACTGATGTATAACGAAAACCATTTGTATGTGCTTCAAGTGTACCATTGATTTTTTTATTTGCTAAACTTGGTCGAATATAAAGATCCTTTAATTTTGGATTGACTTTACTTGGATTAAGTGATAATGCATCTTGTTTTACAACACCCTATTTTGAATAAAATAGTTAAATATTTAAAAGAAAAATGTTTTTTTGTTCTCAACATACTTCCATTTGTTTTCGTTCTAATTCTTGATCTTTATATTTTTTCTGTATTTCAAGAATTAATTTATGAACATGCGAAAGATTATTTGATGCTGGTACAACATCATCTTTTTTATCATTGGATGCACGATAAGTTCTAGAATGAATAAATTGATTGATTTTTTTTCCATTTAAAAAATTTAACTTACAATTCTTTTATATAAACATTTTCTTTATCAATTGTATCAGCTTGTTTACCAATACCACCTGGATGAAAGAAGTTTATACGTAAATAAATATATTCTCCTTCAACAGCTAATGATACATTCTAAATGTAACAAAATTAATAAATTTAGAAGTAATAAAAAAAATTTACTTTTATTGCTGAAATATGAAATGGTGTCGGTGTACCATTTATTGGTAAAATAAGTGTTTCATATCGTTTATCTAAATAAATTTTAGTTAAATTATGTAAGATTTAATTTTTCATTATTTACCCATATAAAGTTTTAAATCTTGAATGTCAGGATCTTGTGGTAATTGTCCTTCGGATTTATATGCATTATTAATTTTACGAGCTCTAAAAAATGAAATTATGAAATTTGGAAAATAATTCTAATGCACAAAATTTACTTTTCTGATGATACTTTATCGCCTTGTGATGTTAAACGAACTTCGGCACGTTCATTTAATCGACGTAATAAAGTTTTTTGATTATCTTGACGTGATTCTTCAGGTGCAGATGGATCAGTCTATATATTTAATAATATAAAACTATAATGAAAATTAAATTTAACATACTCGAACTTTTTCTACAGCTGCACGTCGTGGTTGTATTGCAGGTGTCTCATCAACTTCATCATCTTGTCCGCCATCATCTTTTAAAATAATAGCAATATGACTGATATCTTTCTTTGATGATGTTAAAATAGCGCATGGTTCATTCTAAAAAAATATATTTTTCTCTATATATTTGTTTTTTGTTTTCAATTTACTTCATTAACAACAATTGTATCGCCAATAAATAGAGCATAAACTTTTGATTGATCATCTTTTCCATCAGGATTATCCAAACTTGAAAAGCCAATACTAATTTGAAAGGTCATGCCTAAAAGAAAAAATAATTGAACAATTAAATTTTACAATATTTTATTTACCTTTCTTTGCTCGTGCTGTACATTTACTTGTAATAGCAATTGTACTTTCTCGAAATTCAATACCTAATGCTGTTCTATAATATATCAAAATAAATCATAAATATTTTTTCGAAAAAAATATAGTAAAACTAACCCTAAATTATTTGTCATTTTATTAGCAAGTTCGGGTCGTTCTTTTTCAATTTTTTCACGAACTATTTTGTATACATCACATAATGGAACATCTTAAAAACAAAAAAAATGTTATCAATTAAAAATAGAAAATATCTTCTATTCACCATCTTTAAGTTCTTTTAAAATAACTTCTTCACATTCAAGTAAAAAATTATAAGTATTTTTCATATCTTCTGATGGATTAACCAAAAGTGTACGAACAAGATTTGAACAATACGATTTATAACGAATACCAAATGCACATACAATCGATGAACCACCATAATGAAGTGGACTTTTATCACTAAAATAAAAAAAAACAAAAAATAAATCGAATAATTTTCAAAATTCTTTAGTCTTACACATTTGCACTAAATTTAAGATTGTAATTTCCTCCACTTTGTACTATAGCTGGATAACACATTTCAACATAATTTGCATCAACACTTGAAACATATTTTTCATCATTTAATGCTGATTCAAGTCCTTCAGATAATTTCGAATGTTTTACTTTCTACAAATAAAAAATATCTTTAGCATAGTTTTTTTTCTTCTTCTTTCTTCATACTCGTTCAGAATCAACAATATTTATAATTTGATCTTTTAAATGTTTACTATAAAGTTTACCAGTTATTTCACATGCTTTACGAATTAAACCAAGTTCTTCATTATCTTTAACAGAAAGTAAATAACCAATTGAACTACTAATATCAACCTAAATATTTTTTTCGTTATAATAAATTGAGGAGAAGAAAAAAAATTTACTGTTGTAAATGAATGTTGATTTAAACAATTTTCCCATTGTTCACAAAATGGACCTTCCATTTTATCTTTTGAAAATACGCCTAAGGTTTTTCCTTGATGACTATTTTTAATTTGTTCGATAATTTCATCGAAATTTTTCTCATCATTTTCTTTACGTGTTATAAAATTAAAATTTCGTGGCGCATTTTCTTTATTATTATGTTCGCTTTCGATCTAAATTAAATAGTTAATACAAAAAAAAAGAGGAATACAAAGAATTTTACTTGTTTAAGATAATTGATTTTTTTCGAACCAGCAAATATAATTACTGAATCTTGACAAAAAACAACAAGAACATCATGCATTTCATAACCAAATAACCATGTCTAGAAAGAAATTAATAGATGAAATATGAAACATAATAGAATAAGAACAAACCTGCATAGCAGCACTTTTACTATAGGTAAAATCATCTTCTTTTTGTCCTCGTATAATTACAACAGCATCAGCTGAATGTAATGCATCATTATCATTGGTCGAACTATCGGTTCCATCAGTATTCTAAGAAAGAATATACAAAATATAGATACATTGTTATGATATGTAAATTTAACTTACCCGCCATATTGAGTAAAGTCTTCGAATACGTTCAAGACAACGAGCGCCGTCGATAACGACGTCTGAAGGCATCTAAAAAACCACGTTTTTCGTAGTGCAAATTTTTCATCGCGAAAAGAAATCTCTATAACATCAATGTAGTCTCTCATGAAGTGACCTACCTTGTACCAAGTAAAGTTATTAAATGAAACGAAATAGCTTCAAATGAACGTACGTAACAACAATGACAAACACACAAAAGGATAATTTTTCTATTGGTTAATATACAAATAAATAATCATCCAATAGAATAAGATCAAAATATAATGTTAAGAATTATTTCTTGAATATATTTTCAAATGAAATGGGTAAGTAATCGTTTAACTTTTTTTAGCAATACGGAAGAATTTTATTTAATCAATCGTCAGCTGAGGACATCTGTTTTGAAGGAACTTTACTTTGCACATCTTGTTTTAATAGAGAAAGACTCTATAAAAAAAAGGCTTTTTAGATTGGCTAATTCTGAAAAGATTGGTATTAATAGAATTTGCTTAACCAATTAATGACGATATAATTCACTTTTTATCTTCAATATGAAATGAATAATAAAGCGATAACTACAAAATATACTTAGAATTACTCAAAACTTCACAATACATATAAACAGATACTGTTAGAATTCTAAAATAAAGTTCAGTATCGTACAGAAATCATGAATTCGAAAGAGATGGTTTATTTATACCAGAAAAGGATCGCTCACTATATCCGTATTATCAAAATGTCAAATTCCACTACATGATGTCAGAAGATGCCATATGAGAAAAATATGAATAGTTTGCAAAATATACTCAAATTTTCGATAAAGAATAATCAGATATTCTTATATATGAGAACATGTGATCAGTTCTCAGTATTAATCTTTAATACGACTTTCTTTTATTCACGAGAAAACATCTACTACACTATTAGCTTCTATATTTAGGAAGTATTGGATCTTCGAATATTGAACACAAGAGGCTTGACATATCCGAACCTAATATATGCCATTATATAACAAACTGAATTAACTATTTCTAACGGCAAGCGACTGATGATTTAGTCGTTTCTGTCGATCGAGAGTAGAATCAACGAGTACGTCAATAATCTTTAATAACTTCGCAATTTTCTCACTTAATGATGTATGGCAATATCATAGTGCTTAGTGGACTTAAAAATCTTACTATATCTCTCTTTGTAAATGGATTATTACACAAATACATCGTACGTATTGCATAACGAATATAACAAACACTTCCTATGATAGTCGTTTTATTTAACAAATAGCAACAAAGATTTCATAGTTGTTTCAGTTTATTTTATCCGTTTCTATAGTCTTGAAGTTTTCTATATCGACATAAAGCAAAACAGTATCATCAATATTTTAAGGTAGTTCGTATAAATTAGGACTCCACTGCATTGACTTCAGATACAATCAAACATTTTTTATCTATTATTATTTTCATAACAACCAGTTTATACAATATATCAGATTTTGAAGAATGAGACTTATTTTCAATAGATTTATTTCAAACGAAAAAAACACACTTCAAATTTACTCCATTTATGCTGATCTTTGAAGTGATCAATTTTTTTGCGATACAATATTTTAATTGACACCTATCAAAGATAAACGGCATTATATTAATTATTTCATATATTAGATATCTACGTACCACTTGTTTTACAAGCTTTAACATGTGGACAACATTCACCAGCTGGTATGGGAGCCATTGATCCGTCAGGACAGAGTTTAATAGACATGGTACACATAGCAAAAGCACAGTTCGTAATGGCTAAAGAGAAACATTTTAGTAGAAACCTAAGATCTGTATATTAGCATACGTTTAACTGGAGTCTGAACAGCTGCGCAAGCACTCGTTGATGGACAACATCCATCAGCTGGAATTGGAGCTGGTGTACCATCTGGACATTGCTGAATAACCATCGCACAGAATGTAGAAGAGCAGTCGGGCTTGGCTGCTGTTCAAAAAATAAGATATTAATAAGAAATAAAAAGAATCATGTTTTAGGTTATCAACATACGTGAAACTGGAGTCTCAACAGCTTTGCAAGCTTTAACATGTGGACAACATTCACCAACTGGTACTGGAGCCCGTGTTCCATCTGGACAGAGTTTAATAGACATGGTACACATAGTAGAAGCACAGTTTGTGATAGCTAAAGGGAAACATTCTTGTGCAAAAGAAAAATGTGTATATTAACGTACGTTTAACTGGAGTCTCAACAGCTTTGCAAGCGCTCAATGATGGACAGCATTCATCAGCTGGAATTGGAGCTGGTGTACCATCTGAACATACTTGAAAAACCGCCATACACATTGTAAAAGCGCAGTCGGGTTTGCTTGCTGTTCAAAAAATATGATAATAATAAGAAATAAAAACAATTATATTTTAGATTATCTACATACGTAAAACTGCACCATAGGCAATACCAATAGTAAGAAGTAAAGAGACAAATACTTTCATTTCGTAGATTGGTCTAAATTATTACTAGATATCGAAAAATATTTTTGTATAGAATGTTATCGTACCTTTCATAAAATTCAGATTAGAAAATAAATGCTTTAAAAATCAATTAAATATATATACAATGTGCCAGTCCAATCGATGGCTTGTGTATGATGTGGCACTTTTATATCATGGGATTACATTCCTATTAGGTGGTATTTTCGTATCAGCTAATTACTTTCTTATGATGTGGCAGTTCTTTGTAATAGGATACTGAATAATCGGAGTACTATGTAAGGGACGAAGAATATTTAGTAAGTCACGTGATTTCTTAATAAAAACATCTATAGTCAATATCAAACTTCAACTAAGAAATCGTCACAATATGATATATGAATATTCTTGAGTCTTTATATAACAGATTTTGAAAGACGAGACTTATTTTCAATAGATTTATTTCAAACAAAAAAAACACACTTCAAATTTACTCCATTTATACTGATCTTTGAAGTGATTAATTTTTTTGTGGTACAATATTTTGAACACCAGCAAGGAGACCTTGAAGTGTTTCTTGAAGAAGAGCTGGGATTTGATGAATATCTTGGTTAAGAGCATTGATATTGTTCAACATGTTGAGGATTGAAAGAACTGTTGAGATTGATGTACCTTGTGGTAATAAGTGGGT